ATATGGCAGCGGTCTGTAAGTAATCAAGTCTGGACCAGACAATCCAGAGATCAACAGCATGAGCATCGATCTCGCTTAATGGGAGCCGATGACATGTGTCAACCAAGTCAGCGAGTCTGACCACCCGATCCCGTTAGTCGCCTCTTACTGGGTTCCTATGAGTAGGATGTCCTATGAGTAGGTCATTATGTTTTGGAATGTTCAGTAGTCTTCCCTACGGAAGATGTGTTCAGCAACTGTTCAGTTTATCTCACACATGATCTTAAGGTTTGAATATGTTCACAGTTAACATGAGTTTATATAATAACGCATATATTTTTCTTAATGACAGTTATAATTTGTGAGTTATGTGTACAGGTTAACTTGTATATGTTTTATTTAGGATTACACTTTTTTTAATAGTCTTTGAGAATGGAGTATAAACCCCGCTGTTCTTGTATGACACCTAAACATTTCCTCGTAAAGTTAATAGTTATTATAGTGTCATTTATCAAATTGTCCTGGTTATGTTTGTTAATGCACAAAAAATAGTTTCGTTTTTTGCAAATTTCACGTCTTTAAAGGATGACTAGTATGTTGGGAAAATAAATTTCCTGGAGTCTTCAACATAAATTTAATCACGACTTGGAACGAGCTTGTAGTGCTTATGAAATATAACATTCAAAACCAACCTTGTGATAAATATTGTTAATGCAAACAAGTGTTCCAGAATTGTTTGTGTTCGATTATGACAAAACGTGACCGATTGCTTGGTCGTTTAGCCATTGTGACCAATCTTCGATTATTTCAATTAATTGGACAACCACTAAGTTCTTAATATTGTTATGATGGTAAAGAAAACTTGCTTTCATGCATTAAGGTTTACAGGACAACAAAGTGTTAACTAAGTCCTTAATTGACACCTGTACTAAAATTCGTCATTCAAGATACTTTTAATTTTCCTTTCCTAATTTAACTCAACAAGAGGTGCAGAGTTTCCTTGTCGGGCTGAGGGACGTGTCTAACTGGGCTGATGTCTCATGTGTAATTGACACTCGACCTACTGAAATGTACATGCCGTGTGATAGGAAGGTCAGCTTGATTCAGACAGAGCTTACCTGTCAAGGTGACGACAAGCTAGAACAGATGGGGATTGTTTTGTCTTGTCCTGTGTTCACCTGATGATACAAAGCTGTGATGCAGATAATGGGGACAGAATAATGTTTTTGTCTGCTGATGAGAAAGAAGATGAGAAGGTAACGATGGAATATGATGGCTTTTAGGTTGTCCAGATAATGTCACAGCGTGTTTGATGGGTTTGTCATCTTCCTAAGGGTTGTAAATGTAATAACGACTATGCATGATATGGTAAGTATTGCAAGAAACAACTGACGTCTAGAATATCTAGGATCATGTATATGTTTTGTGGCTTTTGAGCTGTGTAGCTATTTATACATATGCTCTCAGTTGTCATAGTAAAAGGTCGTCACGATATGGCTGAAATATTGCCGATGTGACGTTAAATATTAACTCACTCACTCATAGTAAAAGGGAATGTTAAAGACTGCTTGTTATGAAGATTATTATCATTTGTTTATTTTTTACACTGCCATCAGCATACTCTGCTTAGCAATATTTTGTTGCGAATCTGTAGATAAATTAGTGTGGACCAGCCTTTCTAGTGATTGATATTATGACCACCTTCCAACAGTGATGATGATACACAATCAGTCAAGTCACTTAGCTTGACCATCCGACTGGGTTAGCTGCCCTTATACCAGCATAGATTATAGGAGGTGAGGTTAGGTGAAATTGGGTTTAACGTCGTGCTTGAGAATATTTCTCTCATATGACGACATGCATTCTTATCCTCAATGCCAAGAGTTTACTTATAATTTGCCTTATTTGTCAAAGTATTATATTTGTGATGTTAATCATAGAATAATAATAATTCCAAACCATAAGAGAGATTATTTGTATTATTCTTGTTCTTCATTTTATGAGGCATGAAAGGCATTTGTTTGGTCCTAAAGTTCTTTGAATGTTACACCCATGAAGCTTCCGGGTTAACTAAGAATTGGTTTTCAGTAACAAATGCTTGTCATAAAAGGCGGATCGTTGACTTGGTTGACAGATGTCATCGTATCCAAATTGTGCAGATCGATGCTCATGCTGTTGATCACTGGATTGTCTGGTCCAGACGATTATGTACAGATCGCGCCATATAGCTGGAATACTGTTGAGTACAGCGTTAAACAACAAATAAACCAGTCTTTGAATGTTTAACTTTAAGCCTTTTTATGAATTATGAGTATACAGTGCCATTTAGGAAGTGGTCAGATGTGAAATATATTATATTTGGGATAACATTTCCTCTGAAAAGTACAGATTCTAGTACTGTGTGTGTTGAATCCCTTCTTTGCAAAGCTGCAGTGGCTGAGTGGGTTAGATCGCTGACTGTGCTTTTGGTGATTAGGTGCCTCACTCTGAGAGTATGTATCCGTGGTGTAGTGGTTAGAGTGTCCGCCTGGAGGTGGAAGGTCGCGGGTTCGATCCCAGGCCACGTCATACCAAAAGTCGTTAAAATATGGTACTTGTTGGTCCCTGCTTGGCGCTCGGCAACTCAACCCACTTATTACTAAAATCTGTACTTTACTGACAAAGTGTAATTTCAAATATAACATGTGTTACATTGTTTAAATTGTTAGAACCAGAAAGATCTAATGTTAAGTCAGTGAAAGTGTGAGAAGTCCAAACTGTGGATCTCACCATTTCAAACAGTATACATCAAACCTTCATGGTCTACCATACACCATGATATAGATCTGCATATTATTTTGTTGTCAGAATTTTTATATTTGGGGAATACTCTTGTTAACAATGTTCTAAGACTATCAGATATACATGCCTTGCTATCCAAAGATATTTTTTTTAAATGAGGTCATATAGCGCATGTAGTGACAGCTACTTTTGATCATGTTAAGAGCTCTCCACATCGACACACTGTGCCTACTTCTGTAGCCTATTTACCTAACGTGTCTGACAAGAATAGACAGGGATTTCAAGATGAGCTGGTGTCTCTGTCAACAAATATTTACTCAAACATTATATACATGGTAAATCCGGTTGTTTCATTCAGTAAAACTGTCTTAAAAACTTCGTTCATTGTAAACAGGCTACTAATACTTTTATGTGATAAAGAGGTTATCACTTATTTTTTTTCCATACAAAAAATAGTGCAAATAAGTAAAATCATATAATAGTGCATGAACAGTTTCCATTTTATGATATTTAAGAAATGGATATTCACCTTGTAATGACTGCATGAAGATCAGCATTATCATACCTGTGAAGGTCAGGGTTAGAAATGGTATTCAGTAACCCATGCTTGTCGTAAAGGCGGTTGACACATGTCATCGTATCAATGCTCATTCTGTTGATCACGAGATTGTCTGGTCCAGACTCCAATATTTACAGATTGCCGCCATTTAGGTAGAATATTGCTGAGTACGACATTAAACAACAGACCAAAAGTATTATCAGCTGTTCATTTATAGATTGTGTATGAACTTGTAACCAAGTGATCACACAACTTCCATGTATCAAACATTTCGAATGTTTTCAAGGCTACTGGTCTTCAAGCACAAGCAATGTTCTAAACACTGGCGATTTTTTCTGGTGTCCCCAACCATGATTTTGCTGGAATATTGCTAAAAGTGGCTTAAAACCATACTCACACGTTCTCGTTCATGATAATCTTAAGGAACAACTGAAGAAAATTTGACAGTTACCTTGGTTACTGGTGTAAGGAATGAGTCAGCTGTGTTAATGAATCATAAACATTCTGATTTGAATTATCATGCTTACGAAAACAAAACTACAAAGGTCTGATGACATGTGTATTTTCATAGCTTGATGTGGTGACAGAAATGTGTGCATAGTTATTTTCGAGATGTTGAATCCTTTGAAATGATCACATATTTCCAGGATTGCTATTGTCATGATTAGTGAACATTCTCACAGTCCTTACATTGCTTGGAGTCAGGCTATGAAATATTTTATGGACGCTTCATGTATATTTTGCATGAAACAAGATTTTGTTATTGTGTGACCCTCTGAACAATACCTCTGAAATAATGTTGCTGAAGTAAATGATTGTTTTAATGGACTAACAGAAAAATAAGACTCCATAAGCTGGCATGGCCATACCAACCTCTGCCTAACAAAGGAATGAATTGATGAATTTGAACCATGATGATCATTATTTGGATCTTTTTTCCACCACCACCCAGTATTGCACATCAAATGCTGACAGGATTGTGTAGTGGGCATGTCTATCTGTATCTTCGCCTGTGTAGCCATAACAATTTCCTGTCCAGATCATATCTATAAAACTATATGCTTTCATTGAACTTTGCACACACAAGAATCTGCTTGTGATCTTGGGCCTTAAAACTGGATTTTTAGAATTTTTATTTCTTACCTTTTCATTGCAACACGATTAACTTTTTTCCAGATCATATTTCCCAAAAACATTGTTGTATAAAACATTTGGCACACATAATAGCAAATGGAAACTGGTACTTTAAATTCTTGACAGAATTTCAGTTAATGTGCGATGTCTATTTACTCTTTCTTCACAAAAACAAATACACATTTGTGATCCCAGTTCCATGGTATTGGTTTGATACCTCCTCTTGAATACCTACTCTTGTATCATGGGTATGCAGACTGATTAGCAGGATTAGATGGGAACCATCTCTTTAAGGTGGATGGACTTGATGTAACCATGGTAACAATTAGATAATTTCTTTTATTTGCAGCGACCAATGAGAATTTGTTATTTCTTGATGACACCAGTCTTTGTATTTGATTATGAATTTAGTAGGAAAATAACAACTGAATCAGTGTTACGAGTTATTTCAAGTTTTTGGAATTCAGACATGTCAGAGGTGTTGGTGATTAACACTGACCAACATTATTTCCAGTGATGTCTGTAAAATAATGTACACATATTTCAGGTGTCTGATGAGAGTTTTCTCCCCACCCCCCTGGACATAGCTCCGGCAGCTCCATTTGGGACATGGTCTAACATCTCCGACAAGCTGGCATCCCATGACCCCATAGCCCCCCCTGCCGCTAGAGAGGACCCTATCCTCGCCGCCCAATCCGATGACGGGGCGTCCGTGAGCACCACACGCGAGATTGGCGTGTGTACAGGTCAGTGTTTCATCAGACATGTTTGTCGTAATACTGTACAGGTTCGACACTAAGGCATGTCGAACAACATTGTCTAGTAAATAGCTGGTCTGGTCTGGTTAAAATTGTGTCTGCTAGCCCGACTGGTCATGGAGGTACTGCCTCTGTGGTGTAGTGGTTAGAGCGTCCACCCGGAGAGCGGAAGGTAGCGGGTTCGATCCCCGACCGCGTCATACCAAAAGACGTTAAAATATCGTACTTGTTGGTCCCTGCCTGGCGCTCGGCATTAATGGGTACAACAAGGACTGGTCGGCTAGGAGTCAGTATAATGTGTCTGAGTGGGGTATTCATGCTTCACTGCGGCTTGGTATCTCAGTGGGCTAGCACTATAAAACCAGCTTAAGTCTGGGCTAGTACAAGCAGCCGCACCTACACATACACACGCATGCACGTCGTCATATGAGCGAAATATTCTCCCGCGCGACGTTAAACCCAATTTCACCTCACCTCACCTCTAAGAAATCTTGCATAGCGTCATCTGTTACAATGAGTATTATAGAGACTGTTATTAAGCTTACTTATGTGTTTAAAGACTATATAAGCTATTCTTTAATGATAAACATTCTTCAGAAAATAAGAAGTCAAAGTGTACAGTATTAATAATGGACAAAACAAAACAACAATTATTACAATGTATAGTTTTGTGTTTAATATAGTTTGTTCTTCATGTATGCACTATAAACCTGCTGATAACAAAAGTAACCTTGTTTTCTTCCAACAGTATGGCCTATGGTCTAGTTGATATCAGGTCAGGTCTAGTAAAGTTTAAGACCCACTAGTCCACTGGTCTAGTAATAAAAAAAATGTTGACGTTGAACCCTACTGTATAACTTGATCAAGTCACAATATGGGTGAAATAATGCCAGCTTTACTTGAATTAACTCACTCACTCAGACATGTTAGAACCAGATGCGAGTGATGATGAAATGTCAACGTGCACTTCAATTTGATAGATTTGTGAATATGAAAGTATGCTGCATGGATTCTGTGTTTATTTGTCTTGAACCCGTTTGGAATTTCTGGAAAAAATTCTGTCCCATGTTGAGATATTTTCAATGGGAACAGCATCCTTTACTGGTGTGAAATATTTTTCATTGTGTCACTTGTTTGTTTCTGGTCAAGACTTACGAATCCAACCAGATTCTTTGATCCAAACATGTTTATGGGTTGTATGTTGTTTAACCCACACTCAGCAATATTCCAGCTATATGGTGGCAGTCGGTCAAAAAAAAGAATAATCCAGTGATCAACAGCATGAGCATCTATCTAATCAGTTTGGATACTATGACATCAGTATGTTCAATAGATATCGCTGTGAGTGCGACAACCTAGTGCACACAGGGAGGTGGGGTAGCCTAGTGGTTAGAGTGTTTGTTCATCATCCTGAAGACCTGGGCCCAATTCCCCACTGGGTACAATGTATGAAGCCCATTTCTTGTATCCCCTGCCATGATAGTGCTGGAATATTGCTAAATGCGGCATAAAAACCAAACTCACTCACTCACTCACTTAGTGCTCAAACTATCAACCATTGGTTCACAAAGGGTACTTGACTGGCTGACCAGTGTTGCACTACCTGACAATTGTCACACCAACTGACCTCACAAGAACTCAGGACACCTGATCACTCAGTGCAACTTATGTATATAGTGTCTTATTAAACAGTATTACATAACATCAGTGGAAACAGTACATGGCCTAATACCCATTCCAATCGTATCAGTGGAAAGGAGTACACCAAGTCAGTAAGCCCTTTACCTTGTGGAAGCTGTTAAGACCCTAATTACAGGTCACACAGGCAGATTACCATGGGCAGTGTTACTATTGTGGCAGCTCCAGGCGGTACATGTGATACATACCTCTATCAGTCTGTACTTTGTCATCTTCATAGTATCTGTGAAGCAAGCTACCTGGGAACCTGAAGCTTGGCATGGAACCCCCTGCGAAGTGAGGACAACTGAAGCTTCTTGTTTATGTTATTTCAGTCCAATGTGGCCACAATGACCATGTTAGAAATCACATTCATTAATATTTTTCATATTAGTACTTGGGCCTCTAGTTATAATTTATAATATCTGAGCACCTGATCAAAACTAGGATTTACAAATATTGGTTGTAAATGTACACAAGGGTCAAAATATGCAGTTCACATTTTTATAAATAGGCATGAATGAGGGCCTTTGTCATAATCTAATAAAAAAATTAGGCGTCCCTAGAATCAGGTACTTCACAAGTAAACATCAAGGTCTCTCAGGTCCCAATAATTCTGAAAATGACAATTCAGCAGTTTAAAGTACAGTGAGTGCTGTTGTCTCATTCGTGGTTCATTGTGTAGCTATTTCAGATTTGTAAATATTGATTAATTATCTACTGTGAATAAGCATATCAAGCATCAAATTGCTGGTTTTTACAGAATATGTGAAACATAGTGCACATATTTCTGACACTTTGCACATTTCACTCTACTGTGAACAAATGACTTCATTTACAATTAAACATTTCAAGTTTTCCAAATTAACAAGTGCATTGCCTCACATCCAATGCATCAGCGAAGAGTGTGAATTATTATGTCCATGTTAAGACAGGATACTTTAGTTTTGACAACTTTTATATTATTGGTAATTAGTGCTAGAGTGATAATCTAATAATTGTTCATTAAATTACTCACTTGGGTCAGGAGACTAATCAACATTCTTTTAAAAAAACATCAAATAAAAACTTTAGCCAGTATGTTTCTTATTGTTATGTTTGTTAAATCATGGCATAACCAACTGATACGGTTCCCCTCATTTAAGACCTTAACAAATCGGGGCGGTGGGGTAGCCTAAGTGTCCGCTCGTCACGCCAAAGATCCAGGTTCGATTCCCCCACATGGGTACAATGTTGAAGCCCATTTCTGGTGTCCCCTGCCGTGATATTACTGGAATAATGCTAAAAGCACCTAAGACCAAACTCACTCACTCACCTAAACAAAACAGCTAAAACAGAGGCGATATTATTTGAAGAACAATTTGGACAGAGTTTGCCAACCCTAAAATTAACATGTAAAACAGGAAGTCGTTAGTACAGAGTGATTAGACATCATTTGTGGGATGTAAAGCATGCCCATGGTCATAGCAAATCCTCCAGGAGGACTTCATTTTTTAACTTTTTCGTTTTATTTTTCAGATTTGTGCAACAGTGAAGAACCAGATGAGGTAGAGATTCTCAGCCTGATTAATGAGCAGATCCCCAAATACCGTCTCCGTGCCGACACCATCACTGAGTTCGGTGGCTACAACAACGAGGACTGGATACAGACTCCCGTCATCCCGCTAGACACAGATCTAGCACTCACTGACGAACAGATCCAGGAAACTCTCAAGTATTTCAGTGAGTACTGTTTGTGTTTATCATGCTTCTTAGCTTGCGTCAAGTTAGTTGCCTGATTTGAACTTCATATTGAACAGAATGCCCGAGGTATACCTTACATCATCAACTAATTATTGTACTTACAGAAGTTATGCCACAATAATATTCAGTCTCAATAAAATCAAATCTTAGTTTTTGCCACTGGTAAACAAATACATACATCCATCAGAGCATTGGAAAGTGACATTCAGTGTGGGTTCTCCAACTATGCAACCTCATTAAGATGAATACAGTGTATCCAGAATAAAGGTTATGAACTGTACATCTTTTTCCATCAAAATCATCGTTATCTCTCTCTTCTGTATATTAAACATTTGATATTAAAAAATGCAAAGCCCCTGAGAAGTACAGCCATGCAGTCAAGACCATCTATTAGATGCTTATGGTTAAGTTTTCAAATTTTGAATGGAGAACTTTGTCAAAATATTTTTAATCATATTCAGGAAATGAAGTGGAAATTAAACTCCGCCTTGAAAGCGAGAAAGTTCGTAATGTCCGAGAAAGTTCATGGCTAATGTGACCAGTGTAGGTCATGCCATTGGTCAGTCCAGAAATGGATAAATGCTCTGCCAGAAGTTTTTGTCAGCTATATTTGTTTGTTGGAAGATTGAAAAGATTCATCATAAAAATGCTGGATTGTCATTTCCAATTGCCCAAACATAGTTACAGAGTTATGTCCCTTTGTATATATGGCCTCCTTGAGTTTATCAACATTGGACTTTGTGCAATATGAAACTCACTTGCTGTTCAGTGTTGCAACATTTTCACAGCTTTATTGTTAAATGAAAATTCTCAAATTTTGACAAAGAAATTCATTTACAAGCCATCCACATACCATCAATTGTCAAAATGTTGCACAACCTGAAACTCTCATCATGCGAATTAGTTTTGCTTAAACATTGTGAATTTAGATAACTTGGAAGTTGAAGAGTTGCCATCAACAGAATCAAATGAGTTTCTTTAAATGTTCAACTTGTTTATTACTTTATGAACCCATGTTAGGCTAATAATATGTACTTGAGATTAGACAAAACAAACAGTTTACTTTAGTTCAATGAATTAAATTCCTTTTGTTATGCTCATCATGTTAATGATTCTCAACACAGGTTTTAAATCACATTTAACATTATTTTTACGAACTGCGATCATTCTGACGTCATTCTCACATCATTATCATCAATCATCATGTGTCATGTTCACAATACTGTGTGAGTGTTTCTTTGTTGTCTGTCGGTATTGCTTTTTGTAGTTCCGCTTGTTTCTTGACAGACAATTTGAATATATTGTAAACACTGTGCGTTGGGTCAGACCAGTGTTTTCCTGCTTATCATTTCTTTTTTAATTGAACAGATTGAATGCTTATTTCTATAGAACAGCATGAAGAAAACATGTTAAAATTGCATTTATTTCAGTTAAACAGCTTCTCTTAGGATTAAAGTACATTACGGGGCATGTTGAGATGACATAATCATGTGGGAAACAAGTATTACTTGGTTTGGAGCTGGGAATTAACTTAGCATATTTTGTACCATGTATGAAACCTGTATACCAAATGTTGTATGCATGTGTGTTTCTTTTGACACTAAGTAATGGAAAAAGCTTCTTATCATGTTGACTGGTCATATGGTTGAAGAGCTGGGGGGTTTTCTTCCCTGTATGTGAAATATGTTGTTATGTAATTTCTTCACCCAAATATAGTTTTGTGACAACATGGGGTATCTTTACAATGGCATATCAAATTGTAGTCAGGAGATTGAACTTTTGAATCAAGCTAACTCCATACTTAGGCCATTTAATCATGTTAGTGGTACAACACTTGTGATGGAATATTTGTTTTCTGTGATTTGCCGACATTTTGTGTGATATTTGGTCAGTGTTTGGTTTGTTTATTATGTCTGTTTCAGGCATGGGGTATACCTCATGTACCAATATCACCATCATCATCATCATCGTCATCATCATTATCATTATCATTTTTGTTAAATTGTCAGTTTTTTGTTATCTCTCTTTTCCTGCCTCCTGTGTACTTCCAGCTATCTGTTCACTTGTTTTCAAAGTGATCTTTTCCCTTCCTCTTACAATTTCTTCATTTGTTCATAAAAATATGTTTAAAATTATGCTTAGAAATTATGGGAATGGGGAGGGTGGATGATGTTAGGGGGGCACCATTTTGATTTTGTACATGACATGCAGGGGGTCATGTTTATTTTTGTACATACATTTTAGGGGGTCATTCACATTGTACATGCTTCTCCACAAAAATCATCATCAACCCCACTAGCCATAAATCATGAACGGTCCCTAACCACAGAAAACTATTTGTGTTTGAAAGTACATGATAATATCCTCTTAACATGGCGGCCAATAGCTTGGCCCTTTACCTGATTGAATTTTAGCAAGTTCAGTTGGGAAGCTAACTTCTTCAGGCAAATTGCCTGTCTTCAGTTCAAAATATTTGAATGTTTGCACCAAATAGATGAATCGCAGTACCCAGCTTTACATATATGGACCAAACAGATAATTTTCCTTGCCTAGCTGTACATGCTTGGACTATACAGATGATGCTCAGCTGTACACCCATATATGTTCATTTAGTCGAAACTTGTAACATTAGTCAATCTCAATGATACACTGAATTTGATTTGTTGAGTCTTCTGCATGAATCGTCTGATATGTCTGTTGATTAGTGGTGGTCCGATTAATTGAAATAATCGAAGATTGGTCGTAGTGACTAAACGACCAAGCAATCGATCATAATTTCTCATAATCGAACACAAACAATTCTAGAACACTTGTTTTCATTAACAATATTTTTCGCATGGTTGGTTTTGTCTGTTATATTTCGTAAGCACTACAAGCTCTTTTCCAGTCACGATTGAATTTATCTTAAAGATTCCAAGAAATTTATGTTCCTAACATACTAGTCATCCTTTAAAGATGTGAAATTTTGCCAAAAGAACTACATGTTTTTTTCCTTATTTTAATGTGCATTAACAAATTTCATAAATGGCGCTAACCAATTATTTTCGATGATTGATCGGTAGTAATGAACCAATCATCAATTAAGAGATTTTAACCAATTCCCAACACTACTGTTGATGAAACAAAGACATTTTCCTCATAACCATGATTACCCAGTTCATGTGGATTAACCAGACATTATTCAATTAAACCACGTACATGTATCTGTGTGGATGACAGGTGGTGGATTTACTTGAAGGTGACATCGTAAGGGGAGACAATTCTACCTGCCTTGCTGGCCTCCAAGTGTCATGTGTTCACAGACTTAAGAGCAAACAGTAGTAATTAAAGTTTGAAAACCAATTTTCCCCAGTTGGAAACAAGAATTATATAGTTCTGACATGTGTAGAAGGGATTTTATTCATCTTCAGTGACAGGAAATTAAGAAGATTTAGTTATCATGGGTATTCCTGTATTTATTATGAAGCTGTAGTTGGTTTGATTGAATTTATGCTTGAACGGTATACATGGTTAAAGGTTCCATTAGAAACAGTTAAGTGTTCTAAATTTTTCAGATTATATTTTCCTTATTGAACCTCTGAAGCATCATCAAACATGTTTAATTTTGTTGTTGTTTTTTCATTTAAGATATCCTAGATGACACATATAGATGAAGTAGAGATTAGTGTATACTTAATACAATGGAAGCCCTCTTTACCGGCATTTGTTGGGACCGGCAAAAAATGCCGGTATAGAGGGCGTGCCGGTTTAGAGAACTTTTCCCTTTTCAACCTTAGAATGATCTTCCATGTGCCATAAGATACGGCATATCAACGTGTTGATAGTGATGATATTCTAAATAACTTTCTCTTTCGAAATAGGGCCAGAAATGGGCATGTTTTCACTGTGGGCAGTCAAAAACCAATCATGCGTCAGTGTGTTCATTTGTCAAATTTACTGTTTTCATTCACACGACAATTAATTTATAATACAAGTGACATGTGTCACTCACCAATTTACCTCACCTACTTAGGCCTAATCTTTATCCATACTCCTTTTATCATCAACATCAATGAACTTAATGCCGATGTAATCCACTGTGTTGTTAACACACGTTCAGCCAATCAGCCAATCAAAAGGAGAGCCGAGATACCGGATGCCGGTTTAGAGAGCATTAATTACTGTACAAACAGTCAAGTGGCTGTCTTTGTTGTGCCGAAATACAGAATAGTCTGATGCCGGATTAGAGGGCGTGTAAATGATCATAAATTAACTAACTTCTGCCGGGACCAAATTCTAGTGCCGATATTGAGAGCATGCCGGATTGGAGGGTTGGCAGTTTAGAGGGCTTCCACTGTATATACAACTGGAGATCAAAAACTAAGCAGAGTCTTTAAACATTGATCATACTTCATAACATTCGAGTAACCAAACAATTCCTGGTACTGAATATTCTTTGTCTCTGTTTACATGGTAACAAAAGAGGAGAGAAGGAGTATTATGAATCTGCATTTATAAAGAAAAGTGATAAACACAGATACAAATAAAGCCATTGCCATACCCTTGGCAATGACTTCCAGGAAAGAGTATTATTATAAATCAATGCATTCAGTGTGGTGAATATTGGCCATTTATCTTTTACGAAGTGGGAAACATCATGGCGGGGGACACCAGAAATGGGCTTCAGACATTGTACTCATGTGGGGAATCGAACCCGGGTCTTCGGTGTGACATNAACCTGGGTCTTCGGTGTGACATGCGGACGCTTTAACCACTAGGCTACCCCACCGCCCCAGTTGATATAATGAGCATCAATCCATGTAGTAGGGCTACGATAACACTCAACCAAGTTGATGTGAGCCCCAGGACCTTATCTTCGTAGTCACCTCATATAACAAGCATTGGTTGTTAGGGACCTATATTCTAACCCAGAATCCCAGGGCTTTGAAGGAAACTGAATCTATGATAATTAATGTATTTTGATGCTGGCCATG